CTTTCAGATTCGTTTTTGGCACGTCCGCGGTCGCGAGAGAGATATCCGTTGTGATCTATTTACTAGGCAGATAAATATTTTAGAATATTCAGAAGTTTATTAGACTAATATGGTGGCGTTTTCATCATTGCTCGTTATTAATTAAATACGTTAAAGTTATTTTCATTTCTATACATTTTTATGAATATAATTGATAGAATTTGAATTATTTAATTCTTGTAAATGTAACATATAAAACTTTTAAAGATAATATTTACTTGTTAAGCCATTAGGAACTACTACTTATATAAATATGAAAAGTTTGTTTTTACTTTACAAACATTCAAACAGTTATCTGAGTTACTTTCAACGCGGGTGGCAGTTTTGAACGTACAGCAACAAAGAAGTTGTGATAAATGAAAAGTAAATTTTTTTCCAGCAGTATTTTTCGATGCAAGGTAAAAATAACGTATCTATTCTCGTGAAAAAAATTTTTCTTCAATAATTTTGGTTTACTTTTATCCTAAATCTTATGATATATTGCATGGCAAACACTAAGAATAAACAAGCGTAGCACCAAACAACCCGAAATATTTCATCGATTTTCCGGGCTGACGTTTGCTCGCGTTTGTGCAATAAAACGCACTCGGACGCCGGCCGCGCTACGTCGGCATCGACGTGTCATTTTAACGGCGGGCCGTCCGTCGCTCATAAATCCAGCCCGTACTCGTCGTGAAACAAACCGTCGCTCGAGTGAAACATTGTTTTCGGGGCATCAAATGTAGTTTAAGGAGATCAAAGAAAAAATGCATACGCCCGTGACGAAATTACGCGACACAATCGCCGCGGCTCGGTTTGCTACGCGCGATTTGCCCGTCGCCCATTAACCCTTCCTCCCTGCCGCCCGCGTCAGAGCCCATTTTTTCTCGCTTAATTCCTCTCGGACGAAGCGAGCTCTGAGGGCTTTCGCGATCATACCCCGCGGTCGGCGTGAAAAAACCGGGCGAATTTCCACGACGAAAAGGGTTCCATTAATATCTATTAGCGAGCCGTGCTCGACATCGGCCGGATTTATACACTCCCCCCTTTCGTTTCCCACCCCGCCACCTTCTCTTTCACTCCAAATCCCTCCTCGAACTTCCTAGCCGCCGACGTATCACCGAAGGAGAGAAAAAAGAGAACGAACGATGGGAAAGCCGGATGTATTTTGAAATATGATACGTCGTTTGTTTTCATTAATTAACGCCAATGCTGGAGTGCCAGACGCCGAAACTGATACGTTTTCGCGATTATCAATATTCCGGCAACGGAGCGACCCCTCGTGTTCACCATCAACGGTTTTCACTTTCGCGCCCGTATTCCACCGCGTTCCGTTACAAGGAAGGCGAGACCGATTTCCTTCGCCTGGCAGCGTTTTTCAGGTTCTGTCTTTAGATTTTTGGGCATAGATTAATTAAGTAAAGTTTGCAAGTTACAAAAAGTGTAATTTAATTAAAAAATTTGCCGATAACGAGTCTTTTGAAATCGCTTCTATTGAGAAAAGATCGCGTAATTTTAAGAAATGTGTGTTCAAGATATTCACTTTTATAATTTTTTTCATTTTTGTAAATATTTTGTAACGCTATACATACAAAATTTTACTTGCTGCAGTATAAATTCATCAATGTTACAATTATTAGCAAACGAATTTGCAGTTGAAGCCGATTATGTCTGCGTCCGCCGCGGCACAGTTCAGATTTTTAATCTGTGCTTAACTTATCTTCATTAATCCTCTTTCCTTTTTTTTTAGTCGCGTATTTCAAACGTTACGTAAATAGAAAACACCATCGAGGTAGTTTCATCGTCCCGTCTTATTCACCGGTTGGGCCAAAGGGATTGTTTTCGTCGCTTTATTTCAATCCTCTTATCAAAGCGGTCGTGCTTCCAATTTTCCCGACGCTTTCATGCACTTTGAACGATGTGTTTAATTCACCGAATAAACGCCTCCGCACTTTTTTTCCCGCGCTCGTAATTTGCCCGATAAAGCGGGCCTACGAAGCGCCTGTGTCGGGGCCGAAAAGCAACGGTTGACTCGTGAAGCGTATTCGAATTCAAAAGGCTCGTAATTAATCGACGTGAGCATGTTGTAACAATTGTCGCTTGATCCACGTCCATTACGCTCCGAAATGGGCTGATCTCAAATTTCTTTCTGATCGAAACGTCCGACTATAAAGCCCGAAAAACGAATGAAAATTGTCATAATGGAGAGAAAAGTGGAAAAGTGTTGTGCGCGCAAAAATAAACGATTACGTACATATCGAAATTAATTAACGTTTATTATTATTTTTTTTTCATATTACGTTTCGATAATATTATATTTTCCACGAGCGATCATTTTTCACATCACATTTGTTATCGCGGAATAATACAACGGCGGAATACATTGACACTGATGTAAATTTCATTCACGTAGGCAACAAGCATGCGGAATTGATAATCCTCTTGCGCAGCATTTGTTCTCGTAAATCAAGTTAACATAGAAATTCGTCGGGGAAACTGTGAAAACATTCATCAAGCTGTAAAGTGATAATAGCGCCATTATCGGAGTTCACAAAATAGCAAAGTCTCGAATGAGCTTTCTGTCAATCGTTCAACTGGGTTTGAAAGGATACAAAAGCTGCGCTCGATTCATCGTAACATGTTATAATGGGCCTGCAATTATTTTACGGTAAACACCATCTGTATTTGTCCGTTTCGTTTACTAAATATTCTATCAATCGTAAGAGTGACTTGACTTTCTGACAGAATAACAGAGAGGGGACGAAGTTTACATGGCATGGAAATTACTGTAGAGCCTCTAATTGTGACTAATGTGTTCTTAATTGCCTGCTTTACATTTTGCACGTGCCAGCGTGCGACTTCTTTTCTTTGTTAGCGGAAATTAATTTGGGATTAGCATACCGGGACTCAGCGCAATGTTCACGCACTTAATAACGGTTGGCGGATGAAAAAATACTAGCGTACGATCGTTACAGTAACATATGATATTCGCGTGTAGCTGAATACAAGTGATTATGCGGAACGTGTTCGACTTATACCTTGTAATAACGGTTTTCGAGAAGATTTTCTAAAATTACACGGTTTGTTATGTAAAACACGATTGCTTCTGTGATATAGACATTTAAATTAAAAGGCGCAAACAACACTGATGTAAAAAATATTTGCATTAAGAATCCATAATTTTAAAACATACTTTTAAAGAAGAATATATCGGTGCTTTATTAAAGCAGAAACTATTTTCATAATCCTAGATTTCACTGTTGTACAAAATAAGAATTGTGTATTGCCCCAGCAGTATATTAATGTTTCCTCGCCATTGAAAGGATTAGATATCCCAGTAAAGCAATGCATATTCAAGGCTTTCACTAAGTTGTCATAATTCCTACTAAAATTTTTGACGCCGCAGGCGCATGCATTTCCGGATCTTCGCGCGGCTTTCTGCGACGTGATACTTCCGCGGTTCCCAATTCCGCGAGTTTGCTTATCATCCGGTTGCATCTCTTAAACTTATTTAAGTTCCGCCCATATTTTATCCCAGAAACGGACGATGCCTCGAAGAATACGACGAGCCACTCGCGGTGAAATTTTACCGACTATAGCGACCGCGTTTGTGTGGCCCATCTACGCCGAAAAGCCGTCGTAATCTTTGAAAGTGTCCGAGCGTCCTCGATTCTGAAAACGATGCGGGGGAACGATAAGAGAAACGGCGTGAAATAAAAGCGAAATTTTGTGTTCCGTCAAATCCCGCCGGGTTAGGATCGATCCTCGAATAATCTCGCTCGGGCGTAATTTCGTATACGATACCGAATCCGATTTAATATCGAACGCGGCTCTTCGCTTACAAGTGCGAAGTGCATAATCGGATATCCCGTCTCTACAGGTATATACTACGATCAATTAATACGATCTTTCTCCATCATCCTTTTCCACGTATAGATTAAGATTATTCTGTTCCGCGATTAAGATTATTTCCGTTTCGATTCCCGTTTCCAACTTCTAAAATTTTGATAAAATTTTTTATTTCCTGCAATCCTCTCGCGAATTTGTAGATAGTCCGTATTGAACATTGAATAGTATTGAACTTTTTTCATCTCAAGACTAGAAACAGATAACAATAGATTTTACTGTAAAAGAATTTATTTAGCAAATTTCTTATGGGCGTTATTTAATTGTCAGTTGCGACGAATAGTGATTTTCCAATAAATTCACACAGACAAAAAAATTTGTTAAAATATCTCTCATTGTCATTCCATCAATAAATCGTTAAAATCACAACGACGGTTCTGTAACTCGCGTCCTGAAATTTTCGGAATGCGATAGTTTTTTCCGCATAGTAATGCGCGGCTGCAGCCGAACGCAATTTCACGGACAACTCTGCGATAAAAATTGAGACGAATAATCGATTATGAAACACATTGATTCCCGTTCTTATTCGGCAGATAGAGTTCGAACCGAGGACGATATTGTTTTCAGCGAGCTCCGGGCGAGCGTCGGGGCTCGGCGTACGCAGCGCGCAATCGTACTTCCGCTTTATATCGAGTGCTATTTTGGATGATTTATCGACGAGGCGCTTTCGTCGCTGCTAGCTCGATATCGGCTTCCTCGCTTTTTTTTTCGTGTCCTCCCTACCGAGCGCTTGGAGAGCGACGCTCTCGATCACCGGCAGCGTTTATCCTCGCTGCGCAGCCTTCGCCACACTCGCCTCGTCCTCCCGTTTGCTCCTCTCCTCTTCCTTCCCTTTCTCTCCGCTCTCTGTACCGTCGCTCCGAGTGACAAGCTCTTGTCACTTCCTCTCTGCAGCCCCCGCTCGGCTGCGATCGGTCGACTGCACATTTCGACGTTCGGCCAATTTTAAAAAGAGGGAAGAGGAGAGAGAAGCAGCGGGAGGAAGAGAACGAAAGGGGAACGACAAATTCGCGGAAAGGGAGGGACGTAAAGCTGTATGATCGATAAACGACCCTTGCGTTTTGTTTGTTTTGCAGATTCTACCGTGCCGGTAGCCCTTTGTCTGCTGATCGAGAAAGGACTGTCTGTGGTGAGTGAATTTTTCTTCCAAATATTTTGGTATACATATGTATAAGGGGCGTGCGAGCGGAAAGTGAGCAAATCCAATATCCGGGTAATCGACTGAACGATAGTCGCGCGATACCGCAACTCGTTCGACAAGGGAGGCGTTACATTGTAATTTATTGCCCCTAATAGCGTCGACGCTTTCGCATTGTATCGATTGGAAATAAAAGAATTGGCGAGGCTGTATCAGTAACAGCTTTGTACAATTTCGCGTGCGATTAATTTATTCGTTCTCTTTATACAGCCAACGCGAAATATACACTGTAATTGTTTGCATATTTTTATTAATGCATTCTGATAAAGTGTTTTATGCAAAACAATGCGGCGTATGTATATCTTGAAGAGCACTTTAAAGGGTAAAAGGACGAAAAAGGGATATTAAAGGGGGAAAAAACGCTGTATCCGAGAAAAAAGCAATTTTCTCCTATAATGCTTATCTGATTTATGATATTTTAAAAAATGTGCGGTTCACTTTGCTTTATATTTTATGTAGCGCAGAATTATAAAGCCAACGAAGTTTGATAATAAATAAGCAAACGCTTCCTGTTAAAGTCCACGTTCCGGGAATAAATGCTTCGAGTTTCATTATCTGAAACCCTAGATGATCAAGAGCGGGAAAGAAAATTCTCGCCTCGAAGAGAAGTTACTCGCGTCTGTGTGTACTTTTTCGCTTCTTGCAGTACCCGTGGCGAGCACTGAAGAGTAACCAAAAATAAAGAGAAATACACAAAGTCAAAGAGAAATAAACACGGGGAACCGAGAGACACATCGCGCGCTTTTCACTTCTGACTGACCGCTCCTTTTTTTCTTTATTTTTAGTTTTTTATAGAGAGTCGGAGAACTAAACTAATAATGATATGGGGGAACTCGCGGCGAGGAATTTTTTACAACTGTGGGAAAAAGCACAGAAACACTATCACGGGAGACGTTTGTTACGTTTTTACCTTTCTTCGAGCTCTCGCTCCGTTCTTTGCATCGATGAATTCTGTCGAGTCCATCTGTGTGAAGTATTCTGTAGCGTTACGTTGCCGTTCGCCATTCTGCAACAATAAAAAGTTTTTATTTCACAAACTATTCTGATTTTCTTTGATGAGGCATACATTTTCAGATTATTTGTTTCATTACATTTTCGTGTATTTTGGTATAATATTTAAAGCATGCCTTATTCAGTTTGGATATTCTTATAGAAATTTGTATAGTCTTATTTATTAGTAAACTACTTCGATAAGAATATAAAATTAATTTGATTAAAATCCCGTAAAATTCTCTACATTGCAAATACGCTCATCAAAAATAGATAGGTTGAGCGTTGAAGCGACACATTTGCGCAATAATGACGTCATCAAGCATCACGGTCCGATAATAATACCTTTTACTGTCCTCTTGGGGACATTACGCCGTAATGTCTGGGAATACCACTTAAAGCCAGTATAGCGCAGAGCCGTAACTTGGCTAAAGTTTGCGGACAAATCAATTCGATCGGTTTGACGATCCCGCGGCCGCCGGCCGGCAGATAAGGGCAGCGATATTTTTCCCGGTGCCGACGGTGAAAGTCGACGCGTACAGTGCCATATATAGTGCTTTATCTGCACCGATAATGCCGGCGGACGGCAGCGGGGTTTTAACGTTGAATCTCTCACACGTTCTCTTATCGCCGTGTCGTAAAGGTGATGGTCGTTCGGAGGAAACGCTCGCGATTACCGTAGCAGCGTGAAATCGTCGATCTTCGCTATCGTCACGAATTAGCGACGCTTTAACAGACCCGATTGACTGTGCGTTATTGCGTGTTTCCTTATTGACGAACGTGGTCGCCAGTTACCTCCCGCGCTTGCAAATGCGTTATATAACACAGCAACATCGGCGAAGTTATCGAGAATCGATTGAAAAATGCCGCGAATCAAGTAACAAGTGGACAAACGTGTAAATATTCGATTGTTCCGTAAACATATTCAGCAAAATTACAACGTCAGAAACAGGAAAATGCCGAGTTAGCAATAATTAATTAGCTACAGCATAATCATTTATATTTGTATTAATATCATGCGGAGTACAGCAATATTTGTATAGCATCGCGCATACAAATTACTTAGTCCGACGCATAATCAGCTCGATACAATCCACGATGTCTGTTCAAGCGACGAACTCAATTTGCCGACTTCCTTTTCTGGATATGGAACCCCGTTGTTGGCAAACGCGCATCGACGCATACAATAATTGCCAGTCGTTGATTAATCGCCGGTTGCTAATCGACTAATAATTCGGCTAATGACGAACGCATAATTACAACGTTGTATGAATAATTCGGTCGACGTGGGGCGCACTCTCGTATGAATAATATATAGCAAATTAATACTGAGAACTAACATCGCGCGCGAATAACTTATATCCAGGTTTCTACATGCGTTTCGTGACCATTTACGCGATGGCGCTTACATTCAGATGAAATTGTCAGGTTTTATTATGCGAGCCGTTCGTGCAATTCATCTCGTTCAATAATTTAATGCGCAGCTATCTGATGGCGCGGAAAACTTATCAGCCACGTTTGTTTACGAGCTGCATTTTTTAACCGCCATGTCAACCAACACAATGATATGCGGCGTGCTGCTAGTAAAGATATGATGACGATTTGTATGATAAATTTGTCCATTTTCAGAATGTAGCAACCTTTATTCAGCATTTACGCTTTTCGCTTATGTTTAGCGAATAAATAACACGAACAAATATTCTCCGTATAATTGTAATAAAATAATTTTTATTTATCAATTCAACCAAATAATATATTGCGATATTGTAATAATATTACGTAGTAATATTAATGATTTATAAATCTGTTTTAATAATTTCAATATAGCTTAACTTACGGTTGAATTTTTATCGACTTTTAGCAAAATTTTCATGATTATTTGAAGTTTTGCCTGTCGCATATTTGGACGCGCGTTGATATTTCCTTGTCATTAATTTTGCCGTCACGATAATTTTCCCCGTGCGGTATTAAATTTTGCTTTGGACATGATCAAAAGAATGCTAGAATTGTATTAATTTTCTATGCATGAACATACCGCGCGCATCGTGTAAAACGGTTAGGCATGCACGTCGGACTTCGTATCAAATTCATGGTATTCTTTTGTGTGCCATAATTGGGTCAAAAGTTCCGTAAATATTTGACCGGGCAGAAAACATTATGCTTTCTGTTTCGCCTGCCTGCCATGTGAATACCGAATGATTTCTGAATTGCGACTAGGCTAGCTTTCAACTGTCTGACATCGTTTGCTTGCTGCGCGTTTTTTCAATTTCATTCTTTTGACGCACATGTCTAAAATATGGCTATCAATTTCGCTTAAATTCTTGGTCGTTACATTCCAGAGCTAAATAACTTTTTATTAAAAACTTATGTGTTATTGCCTGTAACTAGTTCGAGTATTGTAAATCGCGAACCTCTTTAATCTCCCACGCGGGACCTCGTAGCTCATTAATTACTGCGGGATTCGGCAGACAACGCGCTTTCGACGAAGGAATTTCTTCTTAACGATCCTCTGAAGATCTCGCGCATTCTTTACCGACGGAGTTTCGAGGGAACTGTAAAACTGCATTCTTTATGAAATCCACCCTTAGCCTTTAAGGGGTAATTACTTCAGGTACAAAACTTGGCGAAGTG